GACGCCATGGACAAGGTCATGGAGTGGGGTGCCATGCCTAATGTTGTCGATTTTTTTCCAGCGTTGAAATGGCTAGATCCACAAGGGATCAAGAGAAACATGGAGAAGGAGATGGGACGTGCCCTCAAAATAATTTCCAAATTTGTGAAGCAAAGGATTGAGGAGAAGGAGCTAGGGAAGGAGAAGCAAACGAAGGACCTCCTAGATGTTTTGTTGGAGCATCAAAGTGACGGAAAGGATGGGGATGATGAACTAAACGAACAGAAAGTCATAATTTTCATACTCGTAAGATTAATTTCATTGATAGAAGACTTGGTTTAGATTGATTCTGGTTTAAAGTTTTTGTTTCGATTTTTTTTAATATAGTAACTATTACTATATTTGCAGGAAATGTTTTTTGCGGGTTCAGACACAAACAGTGCCACGATTGAATGGGCGATGGCAGAGCTGCTACGGAAACCAGATTCAATGAGAAAGGCTAAAGAAGAGCTGGATCGAGTTATCGGCCCAAACAGGAAGGTTGAGGAGAGTGATGTGGAAGAACTGCACTATTTGCAAGCAGTGATTAAGGAAACATTGAGGTTACATCCTCCAGTTCCTTTACTTCTCCCTCGAAATTGCATCGAAGACACCCACTTTATGGGTTATTTCATACCCAAAGATACACAACTTTGGGTGAATGTGTGGGCAATTGGAAGAGATCTAGATACTTGGGAAGATCCCCTACTGTTCAAACCTGAGAGATTTTTAGACTCGAAAATAGACTACAAAGGGCAGAATTTCGAGCTGATCCCTTTCGGATCGGGGAGACGAATTTGTCCGGGTGTGGCTCTAGGTCACAGGGTGCTTCACCTTACGCTGGCCACTTTGCTACACTGTTTTGACTGGGAGCTTTCGAACAACACAACTTCAGGGCAATTGGACATGAGTGAGAAGACGGGGATAGCAATTCGGAAACACGTTCCATTAAAGGCAATTCCCAAAAAGCGTGTCATGTAGGATAGGTAAGAAATGATATATAACTAGACAGAAATATGTGCAATTTGATCGTCATCAACATGTATGCAAGAAGTATATCTAAGGCAAAATAAAGTCTCCTTTTCCATGCTCCTCGTTAGTAAAGTAAAGAAACTAAAGAAAGCCAGAATTAACAAGACCTGTTAGTACAAGAGGAGTGCTCTAATGAAGAGTATTTGCCCTAATGAAAGAGACTCGTTATGAATGTTGGGTTTCACGTGCTGACTCATTATAAATATAACTTGGGTTAACAACAAATTTCTCAAAACAAAACTTAAATTTTGATATCATATGAAAATTAAGCAAGTAAGTTTCAACATGAAACTTATAGTCAATTTAAAATCAATTAGTAATAGATAGAATATATTTTTTTATATTTAAACTACATACTTAATTGTTATGCACTTATTGTAAAATTTTCTTACTTAACGTAAAATTTTCTTACTTAACATAGATGTATACAAATTCTTAATTTCTTACTAAAAAATATGCAATTTCCCCTTTTATTAGGAAAGATAGTGATTAGTTAATATAAGGATTTACACAATTCTTGATTCTAAATTGAATCGAGGTTTTCGAAATTCAAAAATAGTTTTTATAGTCGAACCACTTACTGCAAAATTTAGGCTATTGGATGAGTGGGACATCATTCTCTTTAAAGTTAGTAGGTGGTGCTGATTTGCCCAACTCTTGCAGAGTTAATAGTTACTAAATGCATATTTGAGTAGGAAGTGTTTCTTGCAGGGTCTAAAACAAGCAGCGATACCTTATAGTGCGCGATGGCAAAGCTGCTCTACAACCCAGAAAGTATGAGAAAGGCTAAAGAAGAGCTGAATTGAGTTGTTAGACTGAACAAGTTGAAGAGAGTGATATAAAGGAACTTCCATATATGCAAGCAATGGTTAAGGAAACACTGAGGTTACATCCATCGGGTCCCTTTCTTATTCCTCGAAATGCCATGGAAGATACCAATTTCATGGGTTTTGTCATACCTAAAGATACACAAATTTTGGTGAATGCCTAGGCAATTGGAAGAGATCCAGATGCTTGGGAGGATCCCTCAATATTTGAGCCTGAGAGGTTTTTAGGCTAAAAATTTGACTACAAGGGACAGAATTTTGAGTTAATCCCTTTTGGATCGGGCAAAAGAATTTGTGTTGGCATGTTGTTGGCTCGCAGGTTGCTTCATCTTGGTCTAGCTTCTCTACTGCACTACTTCGATTTGGAGCTTCCGATAAACACAACTCCAGCAGATGTTGACATGAATGAGAGAAACGGAATTGCAGTGCGAAAGCTTGTACCATTGAAAGTGATCCCCAATAAGGAGGAGTTATAGAGAATATTTAAACCATGATCTTAATATTAGAATCAAGAGGATCAAGAAAAAAAAATGTACAAGATTGTGCAAATAAAGGGTTTTTAATTCTCATTTGTTTGAGGTTTACAAGGGATTGCAAACCGAATCAAATCATCAACCATAAACAAATAAAAGAATCTATAATCATACAATAAAACAATTATGGACGTACAAAAAGTCTCTCATTTTATAATTCATACCATAAAATTGAAATCATGAAACAAGAAAGAATTCCAATATCAAAGAATCACTCCTATTTAAAATTTAATATTATGTAGTTCAACATTTTTTTCATTAAAGATGTCCATTAAAGAAAAAAAAAATAGAGATAACTTACTAGAAGGCTAAAGCAGTACCTCAAACAATTGAAAGAATGATTC